GCGGAAATGGGTGGAGTTTTAAATTTCGCATTTTTTAATTCAATCCATATCTCATGATGATGCCGCGAAACCATCCGAAATGCATGATCCCTTTTCTTATTAATTTCTGTTGAATAAATTAAAAAACCGCCGTGCCTTCTTTTACTTTTATTTGCCGGGCAATCCTAGCCAGAGCTGCACGACAGGTGAGATTAATGGAAATCCTAAATCGCTTGATTAGGCTTGGCTTATACCGGCGAAGGTGGATATTTGCCTGCGCTGTTTTTGTTGTGTGACGCGGGCAGAAGTTATTGCAGGGCATGGCAGTTTCGGTGTGGAATTTATTAGTGATCTGCTGGCGAGATTTGCGGGCAAATTAGCCCCCAGGGGTAGTTATTGACATGGAATTGGGCCGATTAGAGAGTCACAATCCCACCCGCTCGTAATTTATATTTTATTGCCCGCCAAGAAGCTCGACAGATGCGCTCCACATTAAAATACTGGCCCAAAACGTCACAGATTGCTCATCGACAATTTGTAGGCGAAGCGAGAAGAGATTGGCCATTGTCTGATCGATAAATAATGCATAATTTCTGTGTGGGGTGACACAGTGGCGGAGAAAATATGATATTTATTCCTTTCGCATCGAAGGGTGCACTTCTGTCTCCCTACATGGTGTTGAAATATGTCGAGAGGGTGGGCAATTCTTCACCCCCACGATCATGTTTACTCCTCCAAAGTACACCAGTAATTAACCCAAAGTAAATTCCGAACTGCAGGCATGCTCTTTTGTCTTCTCATCCTCAGGGGAGGGTTTGTTTTAAATAGAAATGCACCCTCAATTCCCAAACACAGCATATCATATGTTGCCTGCAATTGATGTCTTTCGATTTCGCTAAGCTACACTTTCTTACATCTAATTTCTTTTCCTCTCCTCCGGGAAAATTGAACATCTTCTGGTGTGTGTGAGAGAGAGAGAGCGAGAGAAAAATTTGCTGAGCAAGAGGAAAATCCTCAAAGGAAAGTGCGGGGAAGGAGGATAAATGATATACAGAGAGACCAGCAAACACACAGTTTAATTCGTGCTTAAGCAATTTCGTATTAAAGTGAAACCTGAGCTCGTGGTTGGCAGAGAGCGTCAACAGAGGGGTTGGGAATAATCAGGTTTTAGATTACTGAGCCATATCAAATCCTCGGGATCAGTTTTATGTTTTGATTGATCTGTCCTCTGTTTTTTCGAGGGATGAAAGAAACCCTCTTGCTCTTGCCCAGGAGAAAAAAATTGATTGACGCAAAGAGTGGGTGAAGGACTCCTTTTTGGGGATGATTCTGTCGAATTGAGACACACATTCGTGATTGGATAATCACGAGAGAGAGAAAAGGCGACACGTGACCTCAAACGAGATAAATTATTCACAAGACCAAGACAGGGTGTTTTTCGAGAGATTTTTCCCAGCCACATACACACACGTCGGATGCCCTGGAAGTGCTGCAAATGAAGAGGCACTTTATTTCAACCCCTTTTCCCGATTATACTCTAATATCTCAGTTTTGTGCAGGGGAAAACGCGGGTTGTTTCTGGTAATTAAATGAAAGGAGAGAATGTTTGTCAAAGAAACTTACAAATCCAAAGATAGAGAGACACAACCAGTATTCTTATTCTTGATTCTCATTTCTCGACAATTACTTTTCGAAATTGTTGAACAATAACGGGTGACATGGAAGTGACATCTCTAAAAAAAATTAAACAATTTGTACAAAATGCATTTTTATAAACGCTTTAATTGTTACTCATTTTTTGTTTAATGCCTTTAAATGACATTTAAATAACCTTTTATTGAGGCTACAATTGAAATTCCGGTAAAAAGCACAACTTTCTCTTATCTATCTACACAAAAATATATAAAGTAATTAATGGTTCTTTAAGATAATCTTTAGGTTAATCAAATAAAACACCGCACTATTTGGTTTAGCGGCAAATGGACTCAAAAGACTCTTCTTTTCTTCTCTAATATAGGCAATTTCCTCTTCTCTCTGGCCAAACAGAGGAAAATTGCATGTAAAAAGATAACCAAAAGGGACGAAAGAAAATCCCTCAGAGGCTGTGTGGAAAAAAAGTGAAATGGGTGAAATGCAATTGAAAAGTCATTTGATGGATAATTTATATCGCTCTCGAAGCACCCTCTTCATCATCCCGGACGAGAGTCCTGCTGCAGGGGGCAACCTTTGCGCCCTGTTGTGATGTTTTCGATAACAGATGCGCTTCAGTGATCCCCTGAGGCGATTTTGGCAACCCCTTTGCTCTCATCTGGCGGCGGGATGAGGCTGGCCTTTTCCCAGGACTTCCCGAAACACATGGAGCCCAGCCGAGGAGCCACGGCGATGAGAGCTCTTGAATCGCGATAATTCACTTTAAAATCCATCTCGCTAGCGAACATGGAAAATTGCTCACGGAGACAATTGAGTTTAAGCCACTCGTGATGGCAAAATATGCATTTTTCCATCCCGCAGTTTCGAGTGGATGTGAATTAGCGCCACTGCCCGGGAGGAAGTCACTTTTCAAGGAGTCTCTTGGTGCGACAAATATTTGATTTGGTCCCACTGCCAAGGGGTGGCGAATGCTGAAACCCACCTGGGAATATCCATCACGAGAACCCACAAAACATCTCTTCAGACCAACTGTTCGACTCCCAGCGAAAAAAACGATCAGAATTGACCTCTGACATTCGCACCCAATAATCATTTCTCTCGCCACAGCCTCAGCAATTCCCTCGGCATCCCTTAAAGTGTGGGTGTTGGGAAAATTTTGGTGAATTTCCTGGGGGCGCACTTTAATGCCTTTGGCCAACGGAAGGCAATAATGAAGCGATTTAAATGCATGGAACGCGGCGCAAAGGACCCGAGACTTGCAGGTCGGATGGTCGGTTGTGATATGAAGGGCAACAGCTCTTATCGTGAGCCGTCGTAAACTTTATGCGCTTCTCACCATTGACCATCCCTTTTATCGTCCCCCTTTTTGGCCCCGCGTGCAGAGATCTGCCGAAGATTCGCCCATTTTGGGGCGCGCCAAAGAGCCGAGATATCGGGCCAAACTCTCCCGATGGACGACCAGAGGTGGAATTTTAATGAATTCAACCCTCAAAAGAGGGGTTGCACGACACTCCTGGGAATTTATGATAGTCTCTCATCTGTGCGTATATGCAAAAATGAGCTTTCATTTCTTCCTCACCAAAAACACTGAGGGTAGATTTGACTTTCACGAGCAAATTGATCAATCAACCTTGCAAAAGAGTCTCTCTCTGCTCCTCAAGACTTCAAACTTCCGCAACAATGTGTACAGTGGAAAAACACTTTTCGTGCTCGCGTGTTTAACTTTCCCGGCAGGGCAAGAAAGACAATGAAGGAGTCACGCAAAATCCTCAGGTTTGTCAATTTTCGAGACAATGATCGACAGTTTGTTGGGAAAAAAGACTTACTGTTATAGCGCCTGGAATCGATTTTGAGGCATACTTTTCCGGAAGTCGGCTGCAATTGAAGGCGACACGAATGACAGGAGCACGCAAGGCGCGCACGAGAGTTGAGTGAATTCCTAGCTTGAATTCGTCATGGAAGAGGAAAATGCCAAAAATGCACTTTAATTATCTCCACACACCCCACAAATTCACTCTCGCTCTCGACTGCAGCCTTGCGGACCCGCGCGCGCGCCTCCGGAAAATTGCCACGCCATTTCACGGCAGATGAGCAGGGAATTCCCTCAAGTGTTCATGCCCTCAATTTATCTTCCCGACGTGTCTTTTCTGGTGATTCTTGAAGCTCGACGGCTATCATAAAATCTCCATCGGAAGAGGCATTTTGCGTGGCACATTCGAGGGTGGCGCGCAATTCGGGAAATCACATTTGGCGTCTCCCGCCGAAGATTTCATTAGTGCGGCAAATCTCAGGGTCCAAATCAGCCGCTAATTTTTCCGCAATTTGCCCATAATCGAATTCCAGGCCTTTGTCGCCCCCGACTCACGCTGTGCAGCCCGCGTGGTGAGGGTGAAACAGACACGGAGGGAACACATGTCGAGGGTTGCACAACATGCATTAGGCATGCTCAGAGACACCCTCTAATCGTCCTCGCGCTGGAATTCAGTCGAAGGGACCTGCCAGGACACTTCGCCAGCACTTCATTTCACTCCATTCGCCCGCTTTCCGTGCAAATCGATTCGATGCAGAAGAAGTTTTACTCATTTCGGGAAATTTGGGGAATTTTCCCGGAGGGTTCGGTAGATTATTGACTCATGAGTTGGAAATTATTCCTTTATAGTCAATTTTGAGTAATTCTGCCATTGAATTGAAGCGCTTCAAGACTTATAATAAGTCCGGAAAGATCAGTGTTAATATTAAATGTTGCAATTCTGCAATTTCTTACCTTTTTACATAAAAACAATGTAAACTTCTCATCACTGCACCAGAAAAATCTATCCAGAAGCCACTCAAAAACTTGTAATCTGCATTTTACATCGTGAAACCCTCTCGAAATGAATCAAACTTGCACCACTTGAGCGCATCTGGGGTCGATTTGGGCACAATAGCGCTGAGGATGATTAATTGGGTGGGCACGAGGGCACGAAAAGGGCGATCTCTTCTGCAATTTGTTGACAATTCACCACACAATTGACAATCCACCTGCTCAACAATTTCTCGCACCCCAGCAGACAAAAGGAGCAGAACACATGGTAATTCGCACTTTAAACCTGAACATTACAGGGCCAATTTTCCGCCCACGAAACAAAAATCCACCCAATTCATGGCAAAATTGGCAATTTCAGAATCAGAAAGAAATACTGTTGTTGCCATTGTTCGATAATGCAATCCAGAGAAAAAAATTCAAATTGCCCATATGAAAATGAATTTACGAGGGTTGAAAAATGTCACATGGAATGCCATTAATCATATGCAGATTGATGTGCGCACAACACAAAAAATCACGCGTTTACAAACAGTCAAATTTGTGTGAGAAAAAGTCGCAATTTACCTCAATTTTCTCTTTTATTTTCACATTATGTTTCCTTCTGTGTGATTTCTTTTCTCATCTCGACTATCAGATTCATTTTATATATATAGAGTGTGTGTGTTTGTGTGTCTCTTAGACTATTTTTCCATCAATTTATGAGCTTTTGCATGGTTTTTTTTTTCTTGTGATTTACATTCTCTTAAAGGTTAACAGGGAGAAAATGCAGTAGATTAAATGATTTTTTTCTTATTTCCATTCTTAAGTCTATAAATGTTTAGCAGAATTCTGCTTCTCTGTGACAATTTATCAGAAATCTTGTGAGATTTGCCTCTCTTTTTTTATACTCCATCTCTACTTAAAAATTAAAGGTTCCTTTTTACATGTCTTCCTCGTTCACAAATCTTCAAATCAAAAAAAAGAAATAAACTGTCATCTCATGAGCTAAGTTAGATTCAATATTCACTTGAAGATTTATCTATTATAAGGAGACGATGATATTCTCTACTTGAGAAGAGTCTCTTACACTATTTACACAGTTATTTTACACCTAATGTCTAATGAACTATCCTCACCAACCAGCCCTTAATTCACTGAATTCTCATCAAATACAATTGCAATTTATGGGTTTTTTTTTCTTTTAATATTGTGAATTCTCAGCACAAATGCAGTGTTTCTGGGGAATTTCATCAAGCGTCTCTCGCCACAGTTTGTCCACTTCACTGTCCACCCACATTATGGAATTCACTCACTCGCCGAACCTCCCACAGTCACTCACGCCCGCCCAGGCGATCATGGAGATCAGGAGGCGGCGGGACGCCTCATTTTACCACACCAGCTGCTCGTTCTGCATGTTCTGCGGCTCTGAGAAGTTGCCGGCGCTCAGGAACTCGGGCGAGCCGCCACGCGGTCCGCCCAGCATGTCACCGGCTCCCGCGCCGCCGCCCGGACCGCCGCCCGGGCCGCCGGCGCCGCCATTCCCGCCCGGCGGGCCCGTGGGTTGCCCCATGAAGCCCGAATCCGGCGTCATGCCGCCGAACTCAGACACCATCGGAATCGGTCCGGCGTGATCCATTGGACCGCCTGCAGAGAAAGTGGTCAATTATTAGCAATTTCTGCTGACAGACAACTGACTGTCCGATGAGATGTCCACGGGACTAAAGGACGCAGTGCTTCTTAGTCAATTCCTACTTAGGCACTGCTACAATCTCATATTAATGTGTTTCAAAGAATTAATAAGAGCAAAATTGAAGACATCAAAGGACATTTACAGTGATTTGTAATTCTTATATGACAATTACAAGAAATTCAACAGACATTTCGATATACAGTTTTATCCGAATTTTATGCCATGACGCTTTTAGCTATTTACAATTTTAGACGTAACAGATTTTTTGGATTAAAAAGATTAACTAAATGATAAGAAAGTTCATATGAATGTCCAGCGATAAGTGTGGGACATTCGGTAGTTAAAAATACTGATTTCAGATAGGGAAACTTATCAAGATTTTCTCAAGGATCTCAGTGCTCACCTGGCGCATTGAATGGCATGGGTCCTGGTCCTGGGTGTCCGGGGAAGAAGGGTCCGTCGTGCGGATGGAACGGAGGCCCGCCGTAGCCGAACTCGAACTTTCCGTCGCCGGCGAAGTAAGGGAAATTCGGTGGGACATCATCGAGACCGCCAGGTGACAAGTTCATGGGGAAGCCGCGCATCTTGCGGGCTCCGCCGAAGAAAGGACCTCTGCCCATGCTCGTCAGCTGCTTCAGGCGTCTCTCCTTGGACCGCTTGTTCTGGAACCAGACCTGCAACGGCACAATGAGAAAGACGAGATCGTAAAGTTTGGCGGTGAAAATTGTCCATCAGAAGAGCCCTTCTTCTGCGCGTCGTGCGCTGTCGTAAAAAGGAGCATCTCAATGGAGTCTGCCAAAAATTTGCATCGATCCATAAATAAGATTTTGTTCGCAGTGCCCACAAGTCTTTTATTGACTTCTCAGCATTTTAATGACACCATCGAGATCATAAATTTTACAAGGTGCCCATAAACACGGAACGCGGAGAAAAATTCCAGACATTTGTGCCTCTCTGAGTCCCTTTTCTCTCTCTCTCTCCATCTCTCTCTCGATGGCCGTGAGAAGAGGATCTGTCGCGAGGTCGAGGAAGTTCACAGCCACATCCTGTGTGCAGCAGCAATTGACAACTCAATTTGTCGCTCTGTCGCATCGGCTTCTCATCTCTGCACGGCGGCAAAATTAGCCACAAAAATGTCAGGTCTATAAAACCCATTGTTTATCATGCCACGAAGGTGTTCCATTGATTCCGCTGAGAGAAGAGACACGAATATTAGACATTATAGAGTCATCTGTCTATTATTTATGAACACTGTTAAGCCAGGAATTAAGCAGCAGCCAAATAGTTTCTCTGCGTCTCTTCATTTCTTTCATCCCCGCGCTAAATGCCGCGCTGATCCAGTAAAAAGGCACCAACAATTGTGCGCCGAGAGTCCAGCGCTCGTTCCTTCTCTTCAGCGTCTTTTCTTTGACCCACCATGAGACTTGTTTGTCGCACCGCGGTTGTAACCAATAATTTATCGATTTTATGTGGTGACGAAATATTTTGATGGCCATTCCTATTTGTAAAGCCACACGGAAACATCATCACATGGCAATCAGACACACCGAACACAACCTGCCGCATCGGAAAACACCCACGGATCGGCGGCGCCTTTGACCTCTGCCGTGACCCTCGAGTTCCCAGGAGCGCTGAGGATTGGGAAGAGGAGATTGCACAGCAATCTACCAGGATATTTCTGCGCAAAGAGAGCCTCAGAAGATCACATAAAATTATTGCTCTTCTGTCACAACCATTGATGTTTTCACTCCACTTCATCGCCACAATTCCTCCCAATGGCTGGCCAAGAAAAATGATTGGCAGTCAAGAAGTTAAGAGTGCTTTCCCTTTAGTCATTCCCGGCAGGCATAATGACGACTCCCTTTTTCCCAGAGTGAAAATATATAGTCCAATGCCTCGCGCTCTTTCACCAAGGCATGATTCGCTGGCGATGACTTGCAAGAAAGCCTTGTCCGGGTTCTTCAGTCACTTTTTACGCTCAGCAACTCCTTATGAACTCCGCTGGAGGCGAGGAACAAGTCCAGAGGCAATGAGGGACCGTGAGTGGCATTGTTGGGCCGAAATTGCTTTTATTGTGGTGTCGAAATTGCCTGTTTTGGGTGGGAGGGCGCGACAGTGACTTCGATGTTCCATCAATAAGGCCGATCATGGAGAATTTCCAGCTCAAAATATGACTTGTTGGGGCGCTCTTTTGGGCTTTCTTTGGCTGCCGATTGCGACTGCGAGAGCCTCCATTGTTGGGCTCTTTTTTGTCGACAAGCACAATATGTGCGAAGAAAGAAGAAATGGTGGAGAGTACACGGCGTGGCGCGGCATAATAGAGAAATCATGAAATGCAGAAATCATTATCGGGATGGTCGTGATGATTCCATGGTGAGGCTGACTCCCGGAAAAGTGGAATCCACTCACCAATAGCTAACTGTGTGTCTGTTGGCCACTCTAATCTCATGCAGCGAATCGGAGAGAATTACACTTCGCTTAATGGCCCAGAATCGTCGATTGAAGAAGTCGAGAGGATGTCTTTGCGGTTGATGTATTGAGGAGAAAATTACCCATGGCAAGACAATGGCACCGAGGCTGTCATCAAGAGTTTCTAGTTTTCAGCAAAATTACATCTTCTGTGCAAATTGATTACGTGGGAAAGTGCGCGGGAAAAGAGGTTTCTTTCGTGATGATTAGAAATTGATTTTTTGCCTAGGCCGACGCCACATGACAAATTGATCAATCACACGCCGTCATTAGTCAGTCAACACTGTGTAATTAATTATTTACCATATATCACTGCGACTTATCCACACACACACACACAAGAGTATGTGCATTCTGATAAGGACCATTCTTCTGCACTTGTGGCAAGATGTCGAGTGTTCGGCATTCTTGCGGTTCAGCTTGCAAATTGCCTGCGCCGCGGAAGCTTTCATCCAGTAATTCGGCGGCACAAGTGACCCCAAAGTGGGATGAAATTCCTGTGGGGGCCTTTGTTTGTGGCGATCACGCTCGCGGGGCAAAAAAGCCTCACGGGGAACACTTTGGCGTTGTAGCTGAGGAAGAGATTCGTGTTGAATTTCTTCTGGATTATAGATAGAGAGGTGTTCTGATCACCACAGGCGAATGCCTGGGCGCATTTTATGCTGATGAAATCGCATTAGTTCTGGTTCTATTGTGGCATAGCGCCACATTCGATCCGGATGGTGAATGGAACCAATTTGAGAATATTTTTCACTCACTTGTGATTCTCATTACTCTGTCCATTGTGAGCCAGAAGTGACCGAGTCACTGTCTGACGTCTCTGGAAGAGTGCGCGCAGTTCTCGCGATTGCTCCAGAAGTTTTGCCACAAACTTCCAGGTACAGCGCGCGTTCTGGCGAATATCGATTCGAAAATCTGCCAGGCCATCCGAAGCGGTCTGTCCCTCTCCATCTCAGGAGGGCGTCCCTCTTTGCCTCTCGCCTGTGCGCGGCATATGGGATCTGCCGGGGCACAAAAGAACCACTGAAAGAGTCTCTCCGCGGGGTTCCAATGTGCCACAAATAATCTTTCTGTTGTATACCTTTTTTGTGCCACTCGCCTCACTATAAACACGGGGAATATGTTGCTGGCGAGGAGGGAAGACCGGCATGACAGTTGGCGGCGCCGCCCCTTGTCTTTGCCTCTCCGTGGATTTGCAATTTTCTCAGTGGGGTGCGTGGGTGGCTGTGGGTGGCACAAAGTGGTGGAAAATTTATGGAATACACGACACGCGCTTCAACCCGCTGTATTTGGTGGCTTGTTTGCACACAATTTCACCCTCCACGGCCGGGAAATATACCTGGGAAATTGTACTTTGTCACTGCCAGATCTGCGAAGCGCGCAGACTTGACTCGCACATTTCCATCCAAGCGCTCTTGCCATTTCCACCGCGAGTTTTTGATGAGAGAAAGAAGGCAACACGAGAAGCTGTGCAGCGAAGGAGCAGCAGAGTCGGTGCGATTTTATCCGTGGCATGAGAGATAAAAATTGAAGAAATGTTCTTCCATTTGCCTTTGTGCAAGCTGGGCTGGGATATTTCATCATCGGGCATCACAGCGCTTGTGAGAGTGCGCGATGGGAAGGGAGAACACAAGAAATTGAAGCATATGGCGGAACGAATTGGCGAACCAGCATCAGGCGTCCAAACGAAAACTTATCGCAATGTGGCCGGGCGCAAGGCACGGAGTGAGATATGGTGGAAAAAGTTGGAGACCACCTCCCGTCGATGGATATAATAAAAGCAGCACATCATCTAGCGTCGATTTAATGAATGAAAAAGCACCTTCTGCACACCTCACCATCCTCAATCCATCCCGATTCAACTGAGAGAGAGAGAGAGAGAGAGAGAGAGAGAGAGAGGGAGAGACTCCAAATGAAACCACTTCAGTGCGGCCTCTCACTGTTTAACTTCTTGCACATTCATCCAAGCCAGACAGCGCGACCGTGGATGATCAATTCGTGCAGAAGACTTTTTCCCAAATCATACTTTCTGCCCCCGTCGAAGCCTTTTTCCACGCACAACACCTTCAATAGAAATCCAATCAAGGAGAGCCCCAGAAAAACTCCTTCCCGCACATTTCACCTTTCCTGCCAGCGCCGAAAAAGCATAGCGTGATAGGCCAAATGAATTTTGTAGAATCATTGAGACGCCAGGTGACTTTTCGGCAAACAAATTGAGGACTTTTCCCGGGAAAAAACCCGCCCATGAATTGCTGATGCGAAGTGATGATTAGCGAAAGGGTGCTAAAAAGTCTGTGCATAGTTGTAACTTCATATTCTTGCCACACGATTATTCACAAAAGTCATGCAAAATGCTATGGAATATTGTGTCTATCGGAAAGTGTTTGAGAAACTGGGAAAATCCTTCAATCAAGTGACTGAATTTAAGAATTCAATAACCAATATTTTGTATACTTCGTATTGGTGCCAGAAGTGGGCTTTATTCCTTAAATCTTAACCAAAAAAACAATAAGAAAGCTTCATGTAATCAATAGAAATCTAAGCAAAATGGCGCTTATTAGACTAAATAGATTATTTGACTTAGATTAAAACCATATAAAATCGCAATCTAGGTTTTTGCATCCCTTCATTTCAATTTAAAATCGACTGAAAGCCACTTTTAACTCAAAAAGTTAAGTGAAATTGGAAGCTTTTTCACTCTTGTGGGTGTAAAATTCTTCAATCACCTTTTTTACGATGGTAACCAAAAAAAAACCACTAAAAAGGTCTGATTATAGGAAATTCACCTCGTAAAAACTTTCTTCTGCACAAAAGATTGTTTCTCTCACAGCAGAAAAACACAGAAATTGCGTGAATGTTTCGCGAGTGTTGATGATTGTGTGGGGACAATCGTAAAAAATGGTTATAATGATAAAATCTTCGCGAGATTGACGATCAGCGCTGATCATGAGGCCAGAGATAAATGTTGACAAGTCAACTGAAGGGGCAAAATGTTACATCTTCAGCATTTATGGGGCATTTTGTGGATGTTTTAACAGCACAAAATCCCATCCTGGCCGATCATCTTTTTATGGCATCGCGGCTTGCAACACAGCCACTTAAATCACGTCAGCAATATACAGTGTCGTGCGAAATGTGACATTGATCTAGAAACTATAAGATGTGATTTCCAGTTGAAGTTTCGCTGTGCTGTGCACTTAACAGTGCCAGCGAATGGATCGTAAAATATGTGCACAAATGAGGGGGAGGGTGGAACAAAAGCTGACCACAATTTGTTGCTACATTTCAAATGTTACACATTTTATGGCTTTCCCTTTTTTTGCATCCATCTCATTTCTCCCCCGAAGGGGAGGTTTATTTGCTCTACTTTGTGGCCCGTTTTCTTGGAAACTGACGCAAGAAGTCCATCAATTTTTCGCGCCATGCAAGAATTTCAAGTCAAGGTAACATGGAAAATTGTCACATTTCTCCTCTTGTGTCTTTTGCAATTTTTTTTTTAGCTTTGTGGCACTCAGTGTGCAAGCCAAAGAAAAGTCTCAAATCGATGGTGTTGAATAGCGCCAGTGTCCCTCAAATTTAGCACAACAATTGAACAGTTAAGCAAAATACACAAGTCCGTTGATTAAAGTGCCGATAACTTGAGTTACACATTGTTAATAACCGCCAAACATAAACAGTGTGTGCTGAAATATTTATTTCTCCGACAATTCGCCTGGCTAAATCACTTCGTCATGTATTGAGGCAAGCCAACTGGCTCTATGGTCACATTTCTTTAAAAACACCAACTCTCTCGATAGTGCTGAAGCGCCACCCTTTCCTCAACAACACTGTATTTCAATGTGTCCAACACATCAACACATGTTGCACTGCGTCATTCGACACTAAACTATGGCGTTTAGCAGGAGAAGAGTTGAATTTCAAGTCTTGGTATTGTGACTTGAGCGCTAAAAGGGCGCCAAAATATCGTGTCTCATGTCATCAGGAAAGCCATAGTCTTCCTTTCGACACCATAATTGAGTCATTGAGACACACGCATCAATTTTTCACTCTGATGACAGTCATCGCGGCACGAAGGCCATTTCCATCGCAAGAAAGGAAGAAGACAATTCGGAGGGAAACTTCCGGAAATTAGAAGCAAATTATCACGACAGAGTAATCATAGGCAGAGAGACTCGATAACTCGACAATTGGAAGAAGTGCGTGAGAAACACTCGTCCTCAACCCACTCTAAGGCTAAAGCCAAGAGAGCCATTTCAGTCCAAAGTGAGGGAATTTTCTCGAGAAACCATTAAATAAATTCTGCTTGGAGGTTCTGAAATTTTTATCGTTTTTCAGCGTTATTTTATTGACGAATGTAACAAAACGCGCGCGTGCTTTTTTTTATACGCCACCACACCGTATCTTTTTCAACATTCTTTTCATTGCGATGGCTTTTTGTTCTGTTGGAAGAACCGCCAGCTTTTTGTTGTTGCTTAGCCCCAGAATACAAGTTTAGTGAAGCAGAATTTTGCTATTCAAGAAAGAAACAAATAATGTGAATGGAGGGAAAAAATGCGCGGAAAGAGCTTTTACGCTTTGCCACCTACAACTTGGCGCTTTAATTTGCGAATGAAGGAATCAATTTTTCAGCTAATTCTCATTCGTACTCCATGTAATGTTGTTTACTGTCAACACGGCAAATGAAGCCTCACGTGAAGTCCTCAAAGTGTCCTTTTCTGCTATTTCCCTCAAATTGCGCCGAATACAATTCTGTAAATTGAATCTTGTAGTGAAAATACACTTTTTGGGCTTCCGTTTTGGTAAATAAAAGCAATAGGAAATTACCCACATTTTTTTTCCCTCTGAAGAGTGGGAAAATGATGGAAAAATCTCTTGCAATTAACTCCGTTTTGGGTTATTTACAGTGGAAATTCGCCCTGAAATTAACACGTCACCGAGTCGAAATACCCACAAATCATCCTCGTGATGCCGTTTTTCCGCGGAAAGACACATCAATTGCAGTCTCACTTGGTCATAAAGACTGTCGGTCAAGACGAAATCCCGCGAAATTGAGGCCACATGAGAAGAAGGAAAAGTCGCTATGCACTGAAACCACTCGGATGTGCATCAATGCAGGCGGAATTCATGCGAAACCGGCAGCATTTTGTGGTCTGGCATTGCAAAATATCAGCCAGCTTGATAATGGCACAGAAGTCGATCACCATAGAGAGATGGAAATCTATTTGAGTGGTATTTCTTTTCCACCAAATCCCTCGGATTCACACGATTCACACAATTAATCACGAAGAAGTCATGAGTGTCGGGAATTTCAACAATTCCCCAAGACAAGGCGTGCTTCCAGTAGCCAAATTTGTCAACCCAGCTGGCGATGGCAGGCGATGATGATGATGAAATTGACCCCCGAGAAGGAGGAGGAGAGAGAGACACTTGAGGAGGCTCTCGATGTGCCTTTAATCCTCACCGCGCAGCCCATGAGATCACAGGGGCGCTGCTCACCACAAAAGGCGATCGTCGTGTGGCGGTGAGAAACCTTCGGGGAACAAATCCACTTGAGCTCAATCACCATGAAAAATCATCTTGAATTATTTCCTCGAAAATCCCAGCAACCAACACAATTCCGACGCTCGGTGGCCTATGAAAGCCTCTCTCGTCGCCTCCATCAACAACTGTCGAGAGGATAAAATGCCAAAAAGTGACGAGGATTCAACCAAAGTGACATATATTTAAATGAGATGAAGTCGAGAGGGACTACAAAATATTGTAGCAACTCATTTCCAAGGAGGAGATAATACGATTAGAAGTGGTGTACAGATTTTAGCCATATTATCCTTCCCTTCGTAATTTCTTCTGCTGTAGAATCGGGAAAACTCTAAAGAAACACCTAATAGAACACCACAAAACTAGTATCAATACAGTTGAAAAAGCTCAGTTGTTACGATTACAAAAGTGACGGAATCCAGCATATTATCGTAATTGACTTAATTAAGTTTTTAACATAAATAAAGGGAATCTTTCTACATTCGGAAGAACCGAAAAACATTCGAAATCACATCCACTCTTGCAAATTACGAAGGCAAAGGTTGCTAGAATCAATTTTTTCATGTAATCTTGCTACACATCCATAAAAAACATACACAAAGCCTAGTATCGTTTATGGAAGAATGTGAATTGAAGTTGATCGTTATCAATGTTTGCAGGAGTGCCACTATTTTGAGCATGACGCCAAATAAACCACTTCTTGATCCATCAACCAACACTTGGCCATAGTTCACACGGTTCTCCTTTCACTTTGCACAATCACGATATTTCCCAAGACACGTGCATCCTCACTTAATCCGACATCTTTCATCCCAACTGGCCGATCGAAATGGAAGAAAATGTGGCATGACGATTCGCAGAATTCAAACTGCGACACGACAAATGCTAATCAACATGACGGAATGACACAAATTTCAGCTGATCAACCTCTCCGGGGCTCATCTTGTGGAAGTTGTGAGATGTTGAAATTTATGTTCGAGTCCCATGTCACCTGCTACTCCACCAGTGTTAACATGACACCGAAACATTTCTCGCCTCCGCTTCATCCTCAGCTTCGCCCAGTTGATGACATCCAACGAATGAGATTAGGACACTCCGGATTGAGACGTGTGCAGTCTGTGCGAATTTTCGCCAGTCGAGAGGCATAATCTTGGGTATTTGGAGTGTCGTAAAAATTGGCCATTCGATGGACATGCTTTTTGTGCACAGAAATTGCAGTTGGACGGTGATGGACAGCAAAATTGCAACTTTTGAGCGTTCAAGCGATTTCACTGTATTCTAATCTAAGTCTGTTATCTATGTGAACTTACAATAAAAACCTAGGAAATGCGGTGTTATCACAGCGCCTACAATTTGTGTGTTTCATTTATCAACAGATTCACCCGCACAATTGCAAGTCTGGGCGTTCGTCAATGCTAAATCCCCACTCGGAAAGGCAAGCGAGAGGAAAGCGAACCATTATTATTTATTTATATTTTATGCACATACAACAAACGAAAAAAAAACACCCAATAACAAAAGCGACGATCATGAAACGGCAGCCACATCTCTCGGAGATCGCTGAATAGTAAAACATGACGTGAAGTGATCGCATCATAAATCATGTCGATGCGCGCGGATACTTCTTTAAGCTCAATATGCTTCAAGACCTTTTTCTCTGTCTCTGTCTCTCCAACCCACTGCTCCTTTCCCGATTCTTTTTACCCACAATATTGCCGTGCATTTTTTTCCCCACCGTGATCTCTGCCTCTTGTGTTTCTTTATTATTTATTGCCACTCCGCATCATTTCTGGGCAAGATCCTCTGGCGCGCGGACAGAGAAAATGACGATCAATCGATTTTCTCGAAAGAGAGTTGCGCGCGCATGTCAGAACAAAAACACAGACCCCATTCAAACGACAAGCGCGAAGAAAAGTGTGTGTATTGGTCAAAGAGGATAACCACAAGATCATCATTGAGCCAATTAAGATCATTGATCCCCGCAATTGAGCTCACCTGAATCACTCTCATGGGCAGTCCGGTCTCCTTGGCGAGCTGCTCTCGAATGTGCCTGGTGGGTTTTGGTGTTTGACTAAATGCCGTCTTCAGGATCTCCAGCTGCTTCGCCTTGATCGTCGTCCGCGGACCGCGACGCTTTGAACCACTGCCGCCATCGTCCGGACTCTTGTTCTCCGCCTGCGAGTCTCCACGGCCATCAGGATCGCCGTCCAGAGAACCCTGGCAGTGAATAAAACAAAGTTCGATAGAGAAAAACAATCTTTATACCGCGTCCAAATGCAGATTTGAACCGCCATCAGTTTATTTCCTAATACAACATGAAATCTAAGGAACGTGGGTTCGAATCTCAATTACGCATGTAATTTTAAGTTTCCAAAAATCGTTTTTTACCTAATTATTGGGAAATAAATATAAAAATTTAATACAATTACAGTCATCTTTCGTGTTATATCTTAAGAAACTTATAAATATTTCAACAATTTCCTTCTCTACTCCTCTGAATGCTACTTTCGTATCAATTTAACAAAACGATGATTTAAAAAATGACTATACTTCGTCTTTTAATCTCACTTCTCTCCCATTATTGTCTTCCTCTCAACGGGAAATGAATCTCAAATGACTTTGAAGTTGAACTTCAATTATGCCCCAATTAAACTCATTTCTGCGCTGCATTAAGTGCACATTTTCCTCTGCTAAATTGCGTGTCTGCGCACCCCTAACGTGTCTTCCAGAACAAGGAAGTTCACATAAAACTAATGGCATTCATTTGAGAGACGCGCACTCACCTGATCCGAGTCATCGTGGCCGGTTTTGCTGTCCGTACTGATGCTTTGTACTGAGAGATCTGACGTGCCCAGCGGTCCGGCTGAGTCTGGCCCATTGGGGCCCAGAGGACCCAGGCCCATTGGCGGCCCCCGCAAGTGCGTCTCCTCGTCGTCCTCGTCCTCAGAGCCTGAGCCCATCAGAGAATCTGCAGAGAGAAGCACGTGTTGAACGGTGTGAAAACACTCCATCACAATTCTCAAGATGCCGAGCAAAAGAAAAGAATACAGATTTCATAAGCGGGAGTGGAAAAAAAATGCGACATTGAATTTCAAATGAGAGCAATAATTAACGAATTTTTGTCATATTTAAATGGGTCTCTCGCTTTCCAGCTCACGCTATTGTTTTGATTTATTGCATTATTCACACTTGGGCGAAACACCACTGAAATATATCGCCCCGAAAGCATTTTCCTTCTTTAAAAGTTCCTTTAATGGCCAATTGAGTTGCATAAAGACGCAAATTAAGTGCAAAATTAGCAGTTAAAATATAACCTTCTTGTGCAAATTTAAATATACAGTACGCACGATAAGGCCGAGAGTGAAAAAATAATTGAAAAATTATCGGAAAAACACCTTCAGTTTTATTTGAAAAATATATAAAATTTCCACCCAGGAAAACCATACAATATACATTGTGTGATCAATGGATCCGCGCGCAACCCTTTTGAAGAGCACAACACAAATGGTGAAAATGAAAAAGAAACGAAGAAAGCAGGCAAAGAAATAAAACGGCCAGAGATCATAAATAACCTATGAATCTTTCTTGCCACAAGAGAGGCGAGAGAGAGGAATAAAAGAGACCATTAAAAATTGGTTGTGGATCAGCGATTAATATTCCATTCCCATCGTTAGCCCAATATTCCTCGGCCATGGCGACTCCCATGCTCGGTTGTCCCATTAATTCACTTTACGACGCTCCAGCATCATTTTCAAAACAATAATTAGCATCATCGTAAGTCACCCATCGAGAAATTATGAACAAGTGAAAGCCGGAGAATTTTCTTTTGCGCCCATCATCAATAGAATTTCCATAAATTAGCAACGCGCTGTCAAGTCTCGTTGGGCCACTCTCTCGCCAGTCGCCAAGAGAGTCTCTTTTACCCACGGAGGACACCCGAAAGTCACGGGAATTTCAATAATTTATTCATATTTCCCCATTTCATGTCAGCCGCACTTCTTCAGCGACTCTTCTTCTTCCAGGGCGAAAAGTTCATTTGGCCTTTGATAATTGGATTAAGATTTCAACTGTGGAAATTGAAATAGATGTCACTTGCACATCAGCAGCAAGTGATTCCATCCGGACGGGACTCGGGGGCACCCCAGGGAGTCCCTCTGCCGCCATTGTGCCCCTGTCGACCGGAGACCAGTGAAAGCACGTGATGAGAAGCATTTCTTCACACACGGTAAATGTCATAACCTCTTAGAAAAATATTGGTTTTCGTCTTTTAAAGCACTTTCTGCTACTCTTGACATCTCTCTTGTTATTTTTATGTAAAGAACACCAACGTTTTTAAATGTCTAACGCCGCCGGACGGCTGCCAATATAAGCTATTAAAAGCGTAAAGTTACAACTCAAATTCGTAACTTCTACAAACTTAAATACGAAAGCTGTAAAGATGCAATAACTCCTCAGCTTAATTGTATTTTTGTAGTTTTATCAAATTTTTGAAGATTTGCAACAAACACGCTAACTAATACTATTTGAAAAGATCCTGAATAAATGAAAATGTCTTTTCATTCTTCAATTATTGTACTGAAAAGAGACTTAGTGAAGTGAAAGTGTGGAAATGCGAATGTGTGTTTTTGGCGTCTTTGTCTGTGCCATGATTTCCCGGCCGAAGGGCGAAGGAAAAACGTGTGTGTGCGGTGATAACGATTTTATGTCAAAAACATATCCCAGCCTTCCAGTGCAAAATAGAGCAACCGTCCAAATTTCCACTCTCATCCCATTTTTCACTTTGTCTCTCTTTGGCCAAAGTTCTTAGGCTCCCGAATGTCTTGCACAACTTTCACCTGTTGTTGATACTCGAGAAGAGACTTCCGAAGCAGGTTGAAATCAAATAAATATTATGGACAATAGGAAACGCTATAACTCATTTTCTCTCACACCCTCTTCAACCCCCTCGCATTCGATAGTCACTTGGGCCTCGACGGTTGGGAAATCTATGTTGTACAATGTGTTTGCTTTCAATTCGAGACACATGCACCCGTTTAACTCAACACAAAACAGTTGTGTGAAGCAGTGGGAAATTCACCCTCCAACAATTGCCATACAATTGTCTACAGAACCCCTTCAACCCCTCGACAGTCCATGGTGAGAGGGCCACCTTTAGCATTTCCGAGGCGAGAGCGCGCGAGACGTTCTGGGTGCCGTCGAGGGAAGCTCAAGTGAATGCCGCAAACTTCCCCAGCAAAGCATGGGAAGGAGGGAAATTATTCCGAGCAAACACTTGAGAAAATTCACTGTTTTCGTTTGATATGAATACGAAATTTCCGTGATGGCGCGCATCCCTCGAGAGGAATTGACAAAAGTACTCGCATTACGCGCGTCTCAGCGATCAAACGCTCTGTTTGGACAAACTCTTGAACACCCCGACCGAGTGGCTCTGGTCGGAGGAGAAAAACACAGTTGAGGGTGCATGTCACATTGATTGCTGTGTACTCTTGCGCCACCCTCGATTCGACTCGAGTGCGTACTGGTAATTTAATTTAGGGAAAAAAACTGTGGGGAAATTGGAAATCATTTGTTGTCACTTGTCGCTCTGAAGAAGGTAAATTTCCAGCACACTCTTCCCATTAACTCATCAATTTGGCGCTTCATTGGAAACTGATATGATTGCCATTGATATGTTGGGATTTAATTCATTTATTTGTCCTTGCAACACCTCAAAATCCACCTCTTGTTAATTGAATAACAATCACATTTTAACATCCACAGCGGAATCTTAGGTGCTTTAAAACATTCAGTACAGCCAATCAGCATGCCGGTGGACACCAAGGGGCAAATATTATGGGCGGAAGTAGTGTACAGCTTTTATGGAAGTGTCTGGCAATAAAAAACTCTCAACCTATGCGTTTTTCTCTTTTTCATTACAAAATTGAACATTTACGTAATGAAAAACTTCAGATTACCTAAAATATTTGTTGTAAAAATCAGTTTAAAAGCTAGTTATAACCTCAAAAATATCACTTCAGCCTAGAAGAATCTTTATTTTTTTGGGTTTTTCCACGATTTTTGCTCTAAAGTGGCAAATTCAACCTCGATTCACGATATTTATTCATTTCCAAGTTTGAAAGGGTTAAAATTCGTCTAAGAAGACGCATTCCTAACCTCACAATTTGATTTGAATTTTTCTAGGCATTTTCCCGGAGATAAAACTTGAAAATCCAGACAGAAATTTTTGATAAACATATCCTGTGACACGAAATCATTTCTTACAATATGAAATCTAGATAGAATTGTGATAAAAGTTAGAAATAAGTGAAAGAAACAGTTGAAATCTTTTGCACAAAACAGTTGCCTCTTTTTTGGGCATTCAGAAGTGTCTCTGAAGTGTTGAATATTCCACGAGGAAACTGTGTAAGTGTCAAGAATTGGTGTACAAATTTAAGGCATAATATCTCCCCCCCTTGGTGGAAACCTCGAAGAAATCACGAATTAGCATCAAAAAGCAACAACTGAGGTGTCAGTTGAATTGAACAATAAAAATACACAGTGGATTTTTGCACTGGCACGATTTGCGTTCTCTGGGCAAAATTGTCTTAATTCCATATCACGCGCGCTCGCCTCACAATCCCTCTTCAGACACACTGACTGCATTTGAATGCTGATGTGTACCTGAAAATTCAGGACAATGTCTGACAGCCTGCCAGTTGCCTGTTCATTTTGGTTGAACATCGCCTGACTCGGCCTCACGTTTGATGGACACTTTCCCGGAGAGACACAAGCGCACTCACTCGCCCTGGTCGCGATGCAGGTCACATTCACCACCCGTGGGGCTGAGGCGAGGGTGAACCGCACATGAAATCATGCTTCACGTCACATCACTGTGTGGAAATCTCGTCCTTCAGCTGGATTTCCCTGGGAAATTCCGACGTCAAATCCACTCTAAATCACCCTCCGCGTGTGTGATTTTTTCTCACCACTATCATTCCATATAGAGATCCGCTCTCTCTCTCTCTCTGTGAGGATCATTTTACGCCGAAAGTGCGTGTAAAAAACCACACAACATAAACATCTCAGGCTGCGAGAGAGAAGGCTCTGCCCAGGATTATCCTTTTGCCGCAAAACCGCGCGCCAAAGGACGGGGAAAGAAGAGGGACAAGGGTGGAAAGGATTAGGCACTCGCATGGATTTTTGCCATCATCTGCTTTCGGTGGCTTAACGACTTTTCATGTTTTCACTCCCTTTTTTCACCTTGTTATTTTTCACCTCCCAAGGTGTTCAAACTCTGTGTTGAACGCACACACACACGCACGAGCACCAGTGATTATTGTCAGTAAATAAACATCTCGGATGACTAAAGCTCTAATCCAGTCAAAAGAAAACTCAGAGCTCTCAATGCGGATTTGCGGCAGAAATCCACCACCTTTTTTCCAACCAATAATCTCACCAGAAATATTTGGCAACACACTGAGACACCGAGAAATCCATTTTGCCACACAATCTCAAGCCTCTTTCTCACCAATTTACTAATTTCCGGATTTCAGTTGCTTGTCTACCCAAAGTTCAGAGGTCATAAATTGCATTTTTCCACGTAAATCAACTTACAGATTTTCAACTAGAGATTGGCAAAACAAACATCTCTCGTCTTTCACAACCTGAGAGAGATCACCAGATTGAGAAATTAAAAAAAATGACTCCGAAGAAGTCATTGGGACATTCAAAAGTCTCGTTAAGAGACGCGCAGTGATGAAACGGATTCGATTTTGGCAAGAATTATTTTTAAAAACAACAATCTAAAGTCACATCATGAAAGGGGAACTTGAGAACTCTCGCAAGGTTCGCAAGAGTTGCGAAGAGCGTCAAAAATCTTCCCTAGATTATGTTTATGATAATTTAAAGACCCTTTTATATCAATCACTCCTTCAGGAATAGTTGAAATTTGTGCACAAAGTGCAGGAAATTCCAATTTCTTGCATTTAAACATTCACAAAAGTTCATTTTCCCCCTCTTTGATACACTTAAATTCACTCGTAATTGTCAATAATTTGCAATTATGTGTCACAAACTGACTTGAGAGGCTCGGAAAGAGTCTCTTTGAGGAGCGCATAAGCCGAAAACAAGGTGATTAGCTAATTTGCGCCATAAAATCAATTGATCTAAGAGAGTTTCGCCTCTTGCATCTCTTCTGCTCCAGCCAAACAATTAATTTACCATTTTACGAGGACAAAAGCAGCATCGCATATTTAATAATCTGCGGATATCACCAGATAAATTTCACTCTTCACGAGACAAACTTGGCGCGTGGGTGGATTTCTCAGGCTCGCTTTTTTTCCTCTGCATCACCCTATAAATATGATATGAAAACGGTCGCGTTGAAAGTGATCGTGTGGAAGAATGCTTGCGGGTTTCCCGAAAAGTGTCCAAATCTGCATGCGGTGTGAATATCCATTTTGCCCACGGGAGATGAGAAGGAGAAAGAGAAAGACAGAGAGAGAGAGAGAGAAAAGGTGAAAAAAATTCACACAAAAAGCTGAAAGGTGTGAAATTGCTCATGTCAAGCCGAATTAGTTAAACGGTTCGTGATTACCATCATAGGAATACATTCCAAAACAATTTATATGGAGTGAACCACCGCATGTAATAATAATTATGATGATGAAGCCTATGAAAATTGCCCATCACATAATTCTAGAGCACTTTTTGGCCTCAACTCATCTGGACTGTTTTTCTCCATCGTCCAGAGAGTCTGAGGGGAGAATTTGGAGGTAGGAAAAAAAATCGTGTGCGGTTGCATTTGATATGGACCTCGACGGAGCTCTTCATCCATAAATAACAACTGCTAATTTCGATGTCATGCACCATTATAAATAGACTTGAAATGTGTCTGTGGCACAAATTCCGGCATCCAAAATTGCCGGCTGCCATTTGGGAAGAAACAATTTGAAGGGTGGCAAGTCAAAGGGAGTTTCGTGGGCGATCACGGAAGGTGGAGAACGCCATTGGGCATGGACATGATAGGTGGCAATTAAAATTCCCTAAATATCTTTCCACCCGCGGTTTTTTGTCCACCCATTCGAAACGCCAAGCGAACCCACGAAATCCACCAGTTTGTCTGTTTGATTAATATCACCGTGAATTTGTACCTTCGCCATCCACATCCCATATGGCTAGATCATCATCATAAACCTCTTCTTCGCGCGCGCACCACCCCGAAAAATCCCAGAGCCTTAATATTGCCTGACTCCGCGCGAGAGTCGAAAACTCGAAAGACTTGAAAGTCTTCGAGAGAGAGAGAGCAAGAGAGTGAAAAAATGAGTGATTCTCCAGCATTTGTAAGACAATGTTTTGGAGCTGAAGACAAAACATTGAGCACGGAAAAAATGATAGGCGTATGATGAGCTCATCAAGAAGTGGCAGAGAGATTTGTACATTTGCCCATGTGAATCTCGCGGCAGATCGCATGGGAACGCGAGGCAGAGGATCGAGGGAAATGCCAGTAGTTTGCGATCCACTCAATTGCACACCATCGCGATTGGTGAACGCCCAAGAAATGGATGTGCATTGTCTCGCAATCTCGTCAGATCGCACTCAGCTGCCTTCCCTTCGACTGTTCTTCTCTCTGCGCCGCACAAGAAGCGCCCAAGAATCGGCCAATGAATGAAGACGGCCGAAGTGAAGAGCCCTCGAGACTAGGAGCAAAACAATGTGATTCAGCCATTGATGGCTATCAATGCGAAACGAATAAAATCGCAAGTATACGATTTTGGCGAAATATCGATCGTCTCTGTGAATTTCTATCGATAAAGACTTGATAAATTGTTATCAATCATTGGCTAGGAGAAATATTAAATTCTTCTGGGCACAATCAGAATATGCTAGCCTTAAGATAGGGAATTGAACACCTTCGAAAGAGATTCCGAAGTTCTAAACCTTCACATTAAAATTAAATTCCTTTACTACTTATAAAGTCAAAACCTATTCCACTCAGTATTTTCTATAAGAACAACCAGAACGACATTTTAGGGCTGATTGATTTTTTTCGCTCTAGTCAAAATCGAGATTATCAATTTCCCACTTCAAGAGCGCCAAATCTTTTGATAAGACCAACAATCCCCAAAAGCCTGTCTTCTGCCTCTCTCGCCCCTTTTCCAATTTCCATAAATCGCACACCAATAACTTCACGGCGCGATGTTCCTTCGGCCGAGGATATCACTTTGCCAGGCCGATAACTTCACACAAATTTGTGTGATAGTGCAAAATACGCCTGCTTTGGGGCGCTCATGAGCGCAATATCATGACGATGATTCCCATTCTGTATGCGCGTCTCATGTTCTGAGGTCGCGCGGTGCCGTGGCTTTTGTTTTGTGGGCCCCCGCAGAGCCCCCGAGGTCGCAGCGGGGTTCCAGGTGATTAGTTCAGGTTATGGGCGAGCGAAGAGTGGCTCTGCGTCTTCGGGAGATGTGCGGCCCAAAACACACGCGCTGTCTCGCTCACGCCAGTCAGCATGGACTCGGACAGACTCGATCAGCATGCATGAATGATTGTTCGTAAAGTGTGAAATGCTGTTCTCACAGTTGTGCGTTTCCTCAACTCCTCGCCCAGATTGTGCAGGGTTCGTCTTTTTGTGCGCGCCTCTCTCTCTCTTCTAGATATGTTTTGACCCGACTTTTGCGTCTCATGAGCCGCCGCCCCTCAAAAAACAACCACCGAAATCGATCCCTTTTCACCACAATTACCCATATAGCATCATCCACTCGATCATCTATCACAGAGTGTGTGTGTTTTGCCATCATGAAAACAGAGTCCCGAACATATTTTCTTTTGTACAAAATATCGATTGAGCTTTAAAATTTTCAGTGAAGATTCTCGCGCAAGAATGAGTACATCGTCTTGAAGTTCGCCATTTCAACCCTCCGTGGCATTTTTCATCCTCCCCCAACCCTCAGGGCGCCCCCGGGGAAGCGTCTGAGTTCAAAATGGAGAGATTTCTGGCGAGAGCTTTGTCATTCGGCGAGGCATGGTCGCAAATAAAGCAGGGTTGCTGGCGGCATGAGCTGGCATGCGCACAATTCAGCAACTCATGGGGACAGAGCGCGCCCCTCCCCATTGGCCGCTCACCCCCGGACACCCTCGAGAGACTCACCCGTGAGCGCCGCCGGACCGGCCGCCTTCATCTGCGAGTAGTCATCCTTGCACATGAACCTGTTGTCGTCCAGCACGTACAGATGCTCGCCCGTGCTCAGCTGCTTCCTGCACACGCAGCACGTGAAGCAGTTGAGATGGAACACCTTGTCCCGCTGGCGCCTCACCAGCTCCGATGGGATGATGCCCTGGCCGCATCCGCTGCACTTCGTGCCGTAACGCCTGCAAGGAAGCACGTTTAGCCCAACGATTGGCCGGACGTCCTGCACGCCACGGATCACGCCACTCACCGGAAGAAGTCATTTTTGCAGTACAGCTTCGCCTCGCGACTGAAGCACTTGTCCGTGAGGAGATGATTGCATTCGCAGCAGCGCACGCACGAGGCGTGCCAGCCGCGCTCCAGCACGTTCAGCAGGAATTTGTCCAGGATGGGCTTGTTGCAGCCCGCACAGGGGTCTCCCACCCCCACGGGAGGCTCGGCGCGACCTGGCGAACGGAGGAAAAGTCTTAATACTCGCTCTCATCGTTAAGACATTGAATCAACACAGAATTGAAAACATCATTTGTTGTTGTTTATCATGAGTTGAAGAAATCGAGCAAGTAAATAGTGTCTTTTTCAAACTTCAAGTTACCGAGAAAAGCTTCCCTTATCTATTTCTGAACTTTTCTTTTCTATGGGAATTCCTTAAAATACGGATTAAATTGTCTTTACATAAATGAGTAACATTTTGGTAGTGTTTTCAAATTGATTATTCAAATATTTTACCGCTATTCTTTGAAAATATTATTGTTTTTCTTAATAAAATGTAATTTTATTCAAAAAAGATTTTTTATTCGTGCTTTTTAATCATTTCTAGATATTTTTAAGCATTCATCATAGCAATTTAATTTAAAGATTCATGATTTGATTTTTTGCAAACTCTCGGAAAGTTTCCTTTGAAGCTTGCTCTTTTCCAGCAACGCTAGAAGCGTGAAAATTTCACCCGCTGTCGAGTTCCATCAGCCAAAATAATCAAGCATGAAATGTTGCGATGCTATCGTTGAATTTACAAGGATAATTAATGACTAATGCAATTGAGGTGAATCAAAACACACTCGTGGTTTTTCGTGTTGCCGCCAACAAAGTGACTAATTAAAATTTATGACGTGAGTTGCGAATTCAATTGTTATTGACGTAAATGACAAAATATTGCCACCGTCCTTCTGAAGCTTTGGCGCCCCCATCGAAAAGTTCATTAGAAATTTTAGATTGATAAACTTTCACCAGGTCCGAAAATGCAATTGAGCCATTGAAATCAATTGACAACATGTGCAATTTTGCCGGACAATTGGCAAAGTCACGCACTGAATCCGTCTAGCAAATGAGCTTTTGCCAGTCGCTCGTCATTCTGAGCAAACAAAAGGGAGGCATTTTGGGGTGCACACACACACACACACACGCTTTTCAAAGCTCACAAAATGCACACAGAACGCTTAATTATGCCGGGAACGATGGGAGAAACGCCCAGTGTTTGGTCAAGTGTTTTAAAGCTCACACTCCGGAAGGCTTAAAGACTTTCGCCGAGCCATGAAAAGGCAAAGACGAGGTGTCTTATTTGGATTCCCCTCTTGCCGCATTTTCTTATGCAAATCCCAGTGCGAAAGGCTTCCATTTCAATTTGACTTATGTGTGTGTCTCCTCTCCTTGTGCGCCACAAAGGGCGACTTTTGGCAGTGAATGTTAGCATTCTCGTCACGTCTTTTGCAAAACCTTAAAGCTCACGCCTCGCCAAGGGGATGCTCAGTCGCCCCTTTGCGTGTTGAGGCACAATTTTCACCGCGATAGTATGAGCTGAATTGCAATTGATGGGCATGAGATCATAAATTACCACGTCACACAGGCCACCATCAATCAATCACGAGAGCGTCGAATTCGTGGCCGGGAGGCTCGTTCGGGAAGATCGAGGAGAAAAAATGCCACCATCTTCACGACTATCATTAAACGGGTGCTCGGACGAAATGCTAATGAGGCTCCCGGAGCGATCCCCAGTGCATCTCTCCTCCGAAAGGTGGTCGCAAGTGCGATGTGTGTGCGCTCAACAAGTTCGCCGACGGACGAACAATGCTCAAGTGCGACTCCGAGAGATGCACAAGAGAAATGTGATTGATAAAGACCGGAAGCTATCAAAGCATGGCCTATAAATAGTGTGCGCCATTAGTTGTAATTTATCACTTGATAACACAATTCGGCTACGACATCTTTGCTGAGAAATTATGGCCTGAGAAACAAGGAAAGCAAAGTGATAAGGACAAAGAAGGAAGCGAGCGAAGCAGTTTGCCTTATCGCAATTTAAATCGCGCTCTGATATTTGAGCGCTCCGTGTGGCAAAAATTCGAATTAATTGCGAACTAGCTTGCCTAGGACCGCGACAGTTTCTGCGGACAAAGCGCCGGAAGGACTGGAAGATGGCTTACCTATGTTGTGTTGTGTATGCTGCAGCACTGATCCGAATGCGAGGAGGTCCTTTGCGGGTGGGGCTCTGGCACCCAGGGCGTAGGAGTCCCCCAAAAAGGACGCCAGGGCGACAGCCCTCGGGGGCGCTTTGGTCGCTTCGGTCAGAATTTTGAGTGTCTTGCCACGCTATTCCGTCCTGCCACACTCGTTCCTCCGCTTCTCGCTCACTCAACACGCCACTTCACACCCCCTGAGCAACCCAGGGATCGCACGTCAGGCACACAAGCGAGCACACATGCCACAGAATCACTGATCACCACGCGTGCTGGCACTGCACATGTCACAAGGACCACACTTCCAGGATGTTCTGTGAGTCTCTCTCCGGATTGCAGGAGCGTTGTCGCTAATCTTCCCGGCGCGCACAGCAGACACAGTCCGACTGGCTGCACCGAGTCGGAGCCCGCGAGTCGAGAGCCGTGAGTGGCCAGCGGCGCGGCCTCGGCGGCTCAAACACATGGCGCTGCTCAACCTCGTGCGCCGAACGGCCGGTCGCATGGGAGGGCGTTGCTTAGCAACAACAGGCTCTGGTCTCGCTCGGCGCGCCAATCGCCGGCCTCGTCTTCTGGCTGGGAACTGCCTTGCGAATGAGCGCTCGTTTCCACCCAGCCGCGCTCGGCCGAGTCACCCTGTCGCCAGGGGAAGCGACTCTCTCTCGCCCAGCCTCCAGCCCGCATCCTGCAGCCGGCCTCGACTCCAGCGCACTCCCGCGAGCCATCTCAGCGTCCAGAATGTGCCAGGAATCACTGAAGAAATCCTCGCCGTTCTAGGCATTGTTGTCCAAAGTCTAGAATCAATTAAGTTCATATCACAGAATATTTCACAAATCAACAAACTTCTTTAGCGCTCTTGGCATTGTTTAGATTTCCTTTAGATATTCTTATTCGTTGATAAGAATATTGCGTTCCCGCCTTACTACTGCTCAATAGATGGCACTGTTCAAACTCACCACCAAGTTTCCCACGAGCTTCCAAATACAGTGGTGGACGTGAGAATGCATACAAGTTATGAATTAAATCTTATGAATAAATAACTTTTGTATTTTTAGAGACTATCTAAAATGTATTTAGCAATATCATTAAATTCACCATGTGGTTAATATATTGTAATAATTTTGGTATATGAGAATATTCTCCTTTTTACCTTAAATGGTATAATTTTTCATATGAGGAAAATTCTCATCAATTGTCACAAAATCTGTGTATTTTTTTTTTTAACAATAATTATGACTTTTTGCGCCCAGAATAAAGAGCATTCGTGGGCAGATTTTAATCATGATGCATGTGAAAAGTAATAATTCACTCTCTCGTGCAAGAATATTTCTGTTGTGAAAGCAGTGAAAATTTCACGAATCTTCGAGGCCTCGAGTGCGCGTGAGTGAGACGACCTGAGCCGTCTGTGTGGCATCTTTAGTGCCTCAGAGTTTGCATTACGCAACAGACGCGTGCCTCGTGCTCTCCAGCGATCATCCACACATCTCTGGTCATCCTCAGCTCGCCTTCCTGGGCGTCGCGGCAAGAGTCTTGGGCGCGCCACGGGCTCTGGGCTCCCCTCTGGGCGGCCGGAGCGGCTCTTGGGCAGGCTCGAGAGCGAGAAGACGCGAATCGATAAATTCCCAGTGTCGCTGAACTTATGAGAATGTGTGCGCAGTGTTTGAAGAGCCATGTGGCCGGTTGAGGAGTGTTTGCCATGGTGTTTTTGCTGGCCGCCTCGGGAATCTGGCGTGCGATCCGGACTCTCCCAGTGAGTCCATTCACCCTCTCGCGACGCGAAGCATCCCGCCATCCTCCGGCCTGCATCCAGTCCTGGCCACTGGGTCACCTCGCCCCGTATAAGAGCGCCGCGAGCGCGCCTCCCGAGACAGTTGGCTGGACAGCTCCGGCAAAATAGGATCGCTCTGCTCAGGTGAGTTTCGCGGAAAATCCCGCTGTGCGCGCGGGCAAAAACCAGCTCGGGAATTATTATCTCCCGCATCAGCTCGAGTCAGTGCCGCGGGCACTCCTGGCTTAATTGTGGGATAAATCCCAAGAGAGTTTGAGATCGCGCGATGTTCTTAGAGGCCGAACAGAGTTTAGTGTCGCTTTGAGTGTAGACAAAATTAATTAATTCTAATTAAACGCACGCTGGTAAAAAAATGTCACAGCTCCGAAACGTGTATCTCTGGCTGGATAATGATCAGGAGAAAAATATCTGAAGTTCAAGCATTTTGCTTATTGGGAAACTTCACCTTGAAAACACTAATTAGCATGATAAATTTGTTGTGTTTAAATTTAATTTAAAATGTGGAATGAATCGTCAAGATATTTCAATTACCAGTAAAACCAGATCATACTCATGTTAAAGATTACATGAAATATTATCCAGATTTACAGTTGCGCACAGTGAAATCAATCTACAGGATATGTTAAACACGCAGACGCTGCAAATTCTCACTTAACTCACGGTTTTAGCACGAATAAAGTCAAATTGGGGTGAATAATAAATCGAATGTCAATATTTTTCGGTGTTCGTGTACCAATTTTGATCTTTACTTCATGTGGACGTATTTCACTGGCCATGACCGTATTTGAACCTCACTTGCTTTTCCACTGTTTCTTATAGTACTTAATATGAACACCGTTTAGAACACTTGAACGAATTAATAAACAATTCACACTATTTTTATCTGTTTTCCCGCAAATTCTTCCGCTCACACACAAATACTGATTCCGCAATGAATTTTTAATTACTTTCTTTTCTTTACTACGATACTAAATTCTCTGTTTAGTGTCAGTTTCCTGGAAATACTGTAATATATATAAGCCTTGTTATGCAATGGAACCAACAGAACTTTTTTTTCGCTGTCTGTGCCGAAAACACGGCGAAATAGATAAGAAAAAAACAAACGCCTAGCATGAACTTTATCAGCTATTGAAGTGAGAAAGAAAACATCGCGCGTATCGCGACTCTATCGAAGAGAATGACGATGGATTGGAGGCGAAAAGTAGCTGATAAGGCACTTTGAGGCCACCACAAGTGTTAGAATGGTGAGGGAATCTGGCCAGTTGACGGATTAATGGCTGATGGAAAGCAATACAAACTACTCGCGGATTCGGACAAGTATGTCAGAAAACGCCTAACTCGTCTCTCTATCTTCACAGTGCTTTCATTCGCGATTATGGGAACTGTTGGATTCTTCGCCAAAGTGGCCTTCACCCTCATGATCATGGCCATTCATCATCCGCCCGCAATGACGCGCGGCCTGCTCTATCCTCGGGAGTCGGAGACCAGAGAAGTGCGCTGCTTGGACGGCATGTGGAACTTCATAGCGTCAGACACACGCCAGCCCGCCAAGGGAATTGAGGAGAAGTGGTACGAGCAAGATCTGAACAAGGTGGGAACGACGATTCAGATGCCAGTTCCTGCCAGTTACAACGATGTCACTACAAATTCATCTCTACGGGATCACGTGGGAACGGTTTGGTACGACAGGAAGTTCTTCGTCCCGAATTCATGGTCAGATAAAGTAGTCTGGATTCGCTTCTCCAGCGTTCACTATGAAGCCATTGTGGTGAGACTCTTATCATAATTTGCTAATCCGGGAACTGTAGAAATTCAATCTAACTACTTTACTTGCAGTGGATCAATGGCAATCGAGCAGTTCGTCATGAAGTCGGACATTTACCTTTCGAAGCAGAAATTACGAGCTTTCTAAACTACGGACAGGAGAATCGAGTGACTGTTCTCGTGGACAATGTCCTCATACAGACAACAGTGCCTCAGGGAAACGTGATGGAAGTGCCCACAGACTATGGTATGAACCTAGTTCAAACATACACCTTTGACTTCTTCAACTACGCCGGAATCCATCGATCTGTGCACCTGTACACAACATCCAAAGTTCACATTGAAGATGTGATTGTGTCGACTGATCTGGATGGAAACACAGGCATCGTGAACTACAGAATTATAGCTAATGATACGGATGTGGAGGAACTTGTGACATTCATTCAGATCTTAGATGCTGACGACAATGTTGTGGCTACGAATACAACACCTGCAAATATGCAAGCATCCATAGAGATTCGGGATGTTAAGCCTTGGTGGCCATATTTGATGCATCCTAAGCCTGGATATCTCTATAAGATGGAAGTTTATCTATCCACTGCCACAGTGAAGAACATTGACATTTATCGTTTGAAAATCGGCGTGAGAACACTTCATTGGAACGCCACGACATTCACAATCAATGGAAAGCCCATTTATTTCAGAGGATTCGGCCGACATGAGGACTCTGACATTCGCGGCAAAGGACTCGATTTGGCTCTCCTGACTCGCGATTATGATCTTCTGCGCTGGGTAGGAGCCAATTCCTATCGCACTTCGCACTATCCGTACTCTGAGGAAGCCATGGAGTTCGCAGATGAGAACGGAATCATGATCATCGATGAGTGTCCAAGTGTCGACACGGTGAACTACAACGAAGCCTTGCTAACCAAGCACAAGTCTTCGATCGAGCAGCTGATTCATCGCGACAAGAACCATCCGAGTGTCGTTATGTGGTCCATTGCGAATGAACCCAGAACCGCGGATCTGATGGCAGGCAACTACTTCGAAAGTGTGGCCAAGTTCACACGGATGCTGGATCCCACGCGGCCTGTCAGCGCGGCCATTGCTGTGTCCATGACCACTGATCGCGCGGCTCAGCACATGGACATCCTGATGTTCAACCGCTACAACGGCTGGTACTCGAACCCAGGAGAACTGGGCATGATCACGAGCAGGGTGATCGAAGAGGCCACTGCCTGGCACTTGAAGCATCAGAAGCCCGTGATAATGTCCGAATACGGAGCGGACACGGTTGAAGGACTCCATCTTCTGCCGCCATTTGTCTGGACTGAAGATTACCAAGTGGAGCTCTTCTCGCGCCACTTCAAAGCTTTCGACATTCTACGATCCAGAGGTTTCTTCATCGGTAAGACCGCCAATTTCTCGTCAATCCTCAATCTTTTCTACAATACCCGTTTTTCACACTCTTTCAGGGGAGTTCATTTGGAATTTTGCCGACTTCAAGACCGCTCAGACCGTCACGCGTGTTGGTGGCAACAAGAAGGGCATCTTCACGCGATCCCGCCAACCCAAAGCCGCGGCTCATCACGTGCGAAAGCGCTACTTCAAGCTGGCCAAGGATCTCGAGAACGCACGCATGCCTAATGATCTCTTCCCCTACCTCAGCGACTCCGGATCGTCCTGCATTGAAACCCCACGAGATGAACTGTAAACAGTGTCCCAAATCGCGAATGACTTAAAAAGTATTGAGTGATCTGTATTTTCTATCTTCGTACTGATAATTCTCTGTAAACGTTTTAAGTGCTAAATAAATATGATTGAAATGAAAAATATATATTGTATTTGATCCATTTATTCAGATGTTCAAATTTTCAAATTCAAATAAGAAACATCATGTAATTGATCCAAATTTATTAGAAATTTATTCTCAGAATTTGTATTTCATTTTATATTTTTGCTGCATATTTTTCTTTCAACTTCTTCTTACGCCCAAATCCACTATCCGAGTTCAATGGACAGATCAGAACGGTCAAATGAAATATCAATGAGTTCTGAAAATAGAGAAAAAGCCATCAAAATCTATAATTTAAACTATCTTCAAGTATTGAAGCGGCTTTTGGTTCTAGTTTTGTACCAAAAGTGCTACATTACTTAGTTTCATCATTCTAAATACCTTCGGTAGATCTTCGTCCACCTCCTCCTCCTCCTCCGCCTCCTCCTCCGCCTCCGCCTCCTCCTCCTCCTCCTCCTCCTCCATCACCACCTCCGCCATCACCACCTCCGCCATCACCACCTCCGCCATCACCACCTCCTCCATCACCACCACCGCCGTCCCCACCTCCGCCTCCGCCGCCATCTCCGCCCCCTCCGTCACCGCCTCCTCCTCCACCATTTCCGCCTCCATTCCCGCCATTTCCATACTTGTCCTTGTCCTTCTTGCGAATGCGCTTGCAACGCTGGTTAACACAGGCCAAGTCAATGCGACATGGCGTCTTGTAGTCACAACTTCCGCCGACAGTTTGCTTCGGAATACATTCTCCAAACTTGCAGAAACGGTTGTAGTGACTGCATTCAATCAAATACGGAATGCACTCAATGAACTTAGCCGTGATTTGTTTGTCGGGACCAAGATCAGGAGCTTCATTACTCACTTCCTTGCTTTTCTCAAGCGAAAGTGAGAAGCAGAACACAGACAGTGGGAACAGAAGTCCCACAGAAAGCACTGCAATCCCTCTAACCATCTTCAAAGCCAAATTAACCACACACTGAATTCGCCATTCCAATTGAAGAACTTTTATACACACTGGATATCAGCAAATAAAGTGACCTTTGCCAAATATCTGGGGCAAATAAGGAGCGACACGTGTGGCACAAATTAAATTGTAGGAACGTTAGGCATTTTTCAAGTATTTAAATAGTATTATTCTCGAGATATTGTGGTAAATTTATTGCGAACTTTTTGCCGTTATTCAACTCTTGAATACCTAATTATATTCTTGATTGACGAAGACGAATGTTTGGGGACGATAATGCGAAAAATTGGGGCAATAATGATTTCCTGACTTCCGGTCTGCGCTAGCCAGTTTTTTTTTATCATTCCTAATATTCTTATGAATTCAAAATCCAACAGAGGCGAAAAACTACAATTTTTGAAGAGAGAAGTCTTTATAGCTTTTTTAATTAATAAACAAATGTACATTTATAGCTAGATTTTTATTATGTACTGAAGAATATAATTTTGCCTTTAAAAATACCACTTATTTGCCCCTTTGGTATCAGAGACACATCCGAGACACAATTTCGCCTTTTATTCACTTTTTCCTATCACATTTTTCATTCTCTCAATGTCTTTTCCTGTGGCTCAACAATTCTGAGAACTTGATCGGCGAATTCCGTGAAGAGAGGCTCTTGCATTGCTGCACTCATAGCCTTTTCGGCATTCTGCACTCCATCAAGTTCCTGCAAAAGTCGCCTCAGGTGCGGATTTCTTAAAAGATCCTTGAGTTCTGCAGAATTTCTCAGCATCTCCAGCGTCTGCTCAGGTACAGTGTCTTCAGTGGGGAAGAGGATTGTGGATTTCGCACGTGTTACTGGCTTGAGACTGCTTTGGGGCGCGTCACACGGACTTTCTTTGTGCTTTTTGCAGCAGACAACGGAACAGCTGGAAAAGTAAGTGTATTAGAGAGTCGCCAATAGAAGATATCTTGTCTGGATGCACTTACTAAGGAACTGCACACGTTGGACACTTGTATTTTGCCGAATTTTCCTCACAAATCACACAATTTCCACTTTGTTTATCCATCGCGAATGAAATGTAAACAAAACCATGTGTCAGTGGTGAGTATAAATATCCCATCGAGTGGTGAATATAAGAAGGGAAATTTATGCTGTACTAAAATCCCAATTTTGCAGATAAAATGCTCTTTGCGTAATGTTTTTCAATCAAATGAGGTTAATTTGACCGTCAAATATGCTGTAGAGTATAATTTAGCGATATGTGTAGAGGAGAAATGCAGAAATGGGATAGAAAGAGGGGAAATGTGATACACATTGGTGAGTAAAATATGACTCAGCCGTTGTCATATTGCTTCCAGCGCCCCAGTGGCCTAATGGATAAGGCATCGGCCTCCTAAGCCGGGGATTGAGGGTTCGAGTCCCTTCTGGGGTAAAGCGCCAATCTTTTTTTTCCCACCTTTTTGTTGCCCCACAGGATTTTTTACCCTCCCGAGAACCTCCTGAAACCCCTGTATAGCCTAAAATCCGCCTGAAACGGCGCAAAAAGGCCCCCAAGCCCGCTCGCAGAGCGCTCGCGCGGCCGCAAAGGCCCGGATGGCCGGGCAGTGACGAAAGCCGGCAGCATTCCAGTGTAAACGACCGCTCCACAATTTCAGTACGCTATCGTTTCAGAGGCTGTGCTGGTGGCTTTCTACCGGATGCAGAGGCCGCACCATCAAAGCCGAGCGAATTGGCATTTCACGTGCGCTCTCTCGCTCCCACCGCCCGGAATGCGTCTCGAGGAAGGTGAGATTTCTTCCACCTGAAATCATTCATCGCCGATTTCTCAATGAAATCTCTCCCACAGTCTCCCACTCTCTTTTCTCGTCTCGCGCGCGTGCCACTCCATCCGGATGTAGAGTGCGCCACAGAGACACCGTGAGACGCTTCCGCGCGACCCACTTCGCGGCGCCTTGACACTGGCCTCAGGCTCCAGGCCAGGAGGCGCGAGGTGCTCTTCGAGAGCCACTCTTCAAGAGGTTTCCACAGACAAGAACTCTTGAAGCCCCTTCTGAAGAGGTAAGGAGGAAATACTTTCTCAATAGCTTAATTGTTGTATAAACGGTATAAAGCAATCTCTCAAAATTACCTCTTTTTGCAAGCTAAAACTTAATAATTGAATAACATCTGTATTTAAAAATCTCATTTAGAATATTGTATAATCTAAAATCAAGACCATATTTATCCTTGAAATCTTGGTTTCCTTGGTTCGTGTCTCAGATATAAAGGATCTTCATGTCAGAACTGTTAGAATATTGATTTTTTAAGCATTTCCTCACTTTGTATTTGAAACCAAATGATATCTAAGCCGTTTTCTCTGCACTTTACAACTTAACCATTTGCTATTCAACGTTCATAGCGTACTTTTACACTTAAAATTACCTTCTCATCTCAAAAAATTGCTGTGAACGTCAATTCAAATTCAAATCAGGAATAATTAACGACTCTGATTGTGAACTGTAATAAATTAGTCGCTGTGTAGGAATGCTTCAAAGAGCATTTGCTAGGGCATGAGAGACGGAATTTGAATGCAAATAGCACCGCGTCTAGGGCAATAAAGAGCGTCTAGGAAGGTGGAGTGATTCTTTTTTCTTCTTCTTTCCTTGAGCTTGCACACATAGAAGAAAAATGTAAACTTTTACTAACAATGGCGATGGCATGAAAATGCAAGTGCACGTGCTGGGAAATAAAAATTCTCCTCATTCTCATGCCCGAGAGAATCCGCTACGAAGTCATTCTGAGACTGAGCACCTGACTGATTTGCCCTTAATTGGAACTCGATGGAATCCAAAGAGTTGGAGTTTCAGCCGCGCGCGTGTTCGGCTGTGGCAATTTGCGATGCCAATTCGCCATCTCACCCCCGAAACCTCGTGGCTGGGCGTGACGGGCCTGGGAGAGTCTCTTCCCCGGGGCTTAACCCCCAAAATAGTCGCGTGTGCAGGGAAAATGACGAGAACGAAGAGGAGCCCTATTGCAATTGATAGGGAAAGAGTCGCCCGAGAGTCAATTGGGTGAGAGATTCAAACGGAAATTCCTGAGCTGAGAGACAGGCAATGGGAATCAGTGTGAGTGAGAGATGTGGAGGTAAATATCGTGGGGAAATACTTGGTAATTGATGAAGAAATTCAAAGTGTGTCACGGTGTCTGCTCACCATGCTAACAATTACACACACAGACAATCTTTATTAATTGTGGAATTCCACTAACGGAAATAATACAATTGAGAGCCACACGAAGAGGTAACAACTCTCCTCATCTGACCAAAAAATCGCCGTTTCACCGGTTTTCAACATTTGCAAGATGTGAACTGTCTTCCGGTACCGCTTGGTCCGATGGGCCCGCTTTTGCTCAATCGCGATGCTGCAGCGCGGCCTTTGGGCCAGATTCATCTATCCGGAGTCACACATTTTGTGCCGCCGCGCGCAGAAACTGTTAGAGAGACTTCAATTTAGCACAATCTTGTCCTGCCTGAAATTTCACCGGCACAGAGGAGGAAAGTTCCCATGGAAGTGCCACAGACAGTCCGCGCTAATGGCATGGGAAAAGTCCCGTCTCGCGGGGTGAATTCTCTATGCAAATCCCACTGGCCGTTGACCTTGTGATTATTTGTTTATTCTGCCTGCTTCTCACTCGCATATAAATGAGGAAATGGTCGAAAATTCCACAGATATCTTCGTGGATAATTGCCACGGAGTCGCCGTGCATTCTGAGCGCACGACTGACGAACTCCTCTTCTTCCCTTTATAGCAGATGGCGCACAATTCATCCCACCTTCGCGCCAATTTGTCGACTCCACCGAAATCACCTCGTCAGACACTCTAATTGCATTCCATCATCCCATGCAGTCGCGCCCCTCCAACGCACTTTTCCCGCGCGCGCGATTAATAGACGAAATTTCTCAATAGCCGCGCTCCATTGATACGTGATTTTTTCCACACGCACTTCAAAGCCTTCTTTTTCTGCGTTGTTTCATGAATGAACCACACGCGCGCCTGAGAATTTCCTACACACACGCCGAGGCAACGCCCAATGCAAAAGTCTCATGTTGACACTCGAGAAAATTCCATCTACCATGTCATCATTGTCTATTTTGAGTGCTCCCAAAAGACCAACTCAAACCCTTTTCTTGCAATGGTCAACGAAGAAAATTGCTCATGACGTGGCGAAAAGGTGAGCAACTGAAACATCTTTTCATGGGCTTTGCAGATGTATTGAATGTAGTGGCGAAAGCAAGTTTGACTTTTTTGGTGGATAATCTCAAGGGAAAAGGACTGAAATCGAGACATGTACACAGCTATTCAGGCTTTAGGTACAATAGAGATTTCTTGTTATCTTGAAAACTGAAACAGATGATTAGCTGAGCCTTGGAAGAATGATGAATTCGTTCATTTAAAGCAAATTATAGTAAAGGAAATATAGTTCAGTATACTTTAGATCTTCTAGCCTAAGCTAACAATCTTCTGTTGATAGTAAAATTATATGCTCTTATCATTTATTACTGTTTTAGACTGAGATTTTGAGGATTTTACCAGAAAATTGTCTCTTTGGTCAAAGAAAACAGTTTTCTTATCAAAAATCAACTCAATAATCTCACTTTTTGTAGTTTTTTGGAGCGATTTGAACTAAAACTTGAAGAATGTTAAGATGTCTTTGCAATTCTTAACCACGTGTAAGGCTTAAAATTGCTGTTGTATTGAAAACTTCTCGTCACTGGTTGTCTTTTTATCACGGACAACACAAATTTATTAATTACTTACTTATATTTTAATAATTTTTTAAAAATTACAACATTGTTTTAACGAGTTGTTGTTAAATGTTAAAGTTTTACATGTGTGAAATTTAACTTTCCTCAATTTTAGTGTGGAATCGCTTCATTTATTAAGAAATTCTTCAACTTTCTGCAGGAAAAGATCAGCAGAATCTCTCAAGTTATCAAGTTGATTTTCCATAAGACATGTACACCACTTAATCGAAGTCAACATCCTTGGTAATGTTTCGCAGACACTCGGAAAATTGTGTTTGAACTCCTGCACAAACAATATTTAGTAATTACCCGGGGAACTTTTGCAATTTCACGTGAAAAATGAGGCGGAAGTGCATGTGAAAATGTTGCTCAGACGCTCAAGAAAACACCCTTGTTCGCCATGCGACAAAGTGGGCATGACAATAGTCGAATTGCCTGTAATTGTGACCCAGAAATTTCGCCCAAATCAACTGCAAAATGTCTCCTGGATTCAAGCGGATCTGCGGATTTTCTAATTCACGTGAATTCCCTGCCACGGTTCTGGTTGGGTGGCGAAGCCCGAAAAAATGCTGTCGACCATAAATCAGTTTTCTTCATCGCAACTCTCGTGCCGAAATTGCTATGCGGAGACGATGTGTGGTGAGAAGAAATCTCAGCCGCGAATTGAGATTAGCAGCCACGGTGTGTCCAAGCTTTGTGGGTGAAAAACTGGGCCAAAAGGGCGCGCATCTTCTCCTGTGCCACATTCACCAGGAAGGATCTCTCATTGCGAATGCCAGGGAGTAGCAAATGTGATGCTCAACACGCACAGTTACACACACACACTGTTTATATTCATGAACATTGCAAAAAACACGATCGAGAGCGCTCAAGTTTGGCGAAAAAATTCGCGATCTCGTCCAGAGCAAGAAAGCCTCGGCGATGGTCACGTTGAGGGATGACTGTGGTTGTTAGATATGGACAGACTCTATTTTTAGCCGCGATTATCTCATCCGCATCCAATCGTGCCTCCATTCGCGACTTTGGTGAATGTTCTCCGTGGGCTCCTTCAGTGGGCAAGGCGCGATGTGGGTGGCGCGCGCGCGGAGAGACTTTTTCGGCGGCCCACGAGGTCGCTGACCGCCCGGGAAAAATAAATAGAAAATGAAATTTCCCCACAAATTGTCCGTAAAGCGTGTGTAAACAGACTGTGAGATGCGCAACTGGCCAGAGAAGACCATCACATAAAGAAGCACTGCTGGAAATTCGGGTCAATCGACTCTGTCATAAATCACGAGATTCGCTCCTGAGCTTAGAATTGTCTCTGGAGGACACAGAAGGAGGAGGAAAAAGAAGA